TGGTTGGTTCTGCGCGTCTGCTGGCTCCCGGCGTACCGGTTGGAAGTTGAGCCTTCCCTGGCCAGGAATCTGCGCCTGCTCGTTCCTGACACGTCTTCTGGCCCTCGATCTTGGCGAGCTTGCTCTCCTTGGTCTATCCAGGCAAGAGCCGGGGGCATTCGATAGTCCCACATTCTCTGGTCTCTAATGACCGTTTCAGCGTCCAGAGTTGCGTCCGCTTCCAGGCACGTAATGAAGCCCATCATGACGTGCCTGATGTTGATGAAGGTGATGTAATCCAGAACAACTGGCTTCCAAGAGGTGCGGAGAAAGTGGAACAGCACCGATGTCTGCATTCTAATTGAAGACATGCTCGGGAAGAGGATGTCTGGGTGCGCTAGCAAGTACCATAGCGCGTGGTCGAACCAGATTGGACCTCCTGGGCAGTTCTTCTGGCTGTCTTTCCCGCACTGGCACTTCAGATACGGTCTCCCTGTGCTCCAGACTTTGTGCAGGCTTCTCAACTGCAAGTTTGGTGGTTGCTTCAGTCCTTTCTGCCAGCATACGGGAGAGGTGTCTCCGCACTTGTGAGGGTCCAGGTATGACAGGGGTGGGAAGCTAAGGTCACATGGCTCGATGGACTTACTCATTCTACCTACGTGCTCAAGTTCTCCGTCCAGTGCGATCTCCTGGCATTTCATGGCTTCCTCATCCGTAATCCCGGCGATGAACTGGAGTGCTTTGATGGACATTGGTGAGAGGTGGTTGAACGTGTCCATTCTCCATATGGCGTGTCTAAAGGCTACGCACGTGTGCTCAACCCATCTCTCTGATGCTACGGGTGCGAATGCTGTGAACTGGGCTCCGGGATCTGCAGCCGTAAAACGCCTTATCCTCCTCGGTGGGGAGATTCTCCCTGCTGCTGTGGCGTTGATTGCTGCTAGCACTTGCTCCATTTCTTCCAACTCTTCTTGCCTGATTTCTAGCGCCTGGATCCCAAGAGGTTGAGCATGCTGCGTTGCACTGCGTGACCTTCGTGCTCTGGGTGTGGCTACGCCTCTAACATGTGCATCGCTCAGGCCCCAGATTCTGAGAAAGAGACTCTCGACGTTGGCGGTCCTTCCCGGTAGCTCTCGGGATTCTCTACTGTATTCTACTTTGCTCCTCTCTAGCCTCTCTGCTAATTCCCTCAGATCGTTCTGGAAAATCTCTGCTCCCTTGTCCCATGTGCTGGCTAGTACTGCTAAGTCGCTGAACCCAAGCATCTCGAAGAAGTTCGGAAACCTTCCGGTGTCCCATATGACCTTGATTGCTGTCATGATCTCTAGTTTGATGCATGTCATGAGTGCCTGTGTTGGCTTGCTCGGCCAGGGGCATGCAGCGATCCATGGGAATGCGTCAGTGATCTGACTCCACCAACCACCAGGGAAAACTTCCTCGGGGATAAAATGCACATGCAACGACACAAACAAGCATCGGGTGGGGGGCGGAGGGTTTCCGTGTTTTTTCGGGGAAGGGGAGTAACCGGGAGGGGGTCGAGGGAGTGTAAGGAAGGGGGAAGAAAAAGGGGAAGGGGAGAGAGAGGGGGGGAGGGGGGGTGAAGTGGAGGAGGAGGAGGAGGAGGCCACTAGTTATAGTTCTATTACCTCATTTTTTCTTGCCTCAATCTACATAGCTTACCCTTAGTTGCTTTGCGAAGATCTCGTCGCTTCCCGTTTCCTGGATCTGTTCCATGTACTGCCATCCAGCCCTTTTGTCTCTGCACTGCCTTCGGGCGCTAGTTCACGCAATGCGGCTGATGGGGGCGCCCATCATCAGCGATGCAAAGGAGAGAGTCTCCCTATTCTTTGTGTGTTTCGGGTGTGTGCTCATACGCACGCCATGACACGATATGACGTGTTAGGCTGAGCTCCGGCATAGGTCTGGCCGGCACACTGCGGAACTTCTGGCAGGATCCAGGCATTTTTTTTTGGCGATATGGTTTAACCTTTTTGTTCCGGAATGGGGGTTGCTTTCTAGCTTCGCAGCTTCAGGAGTTATAAGCCAGTACCTTATTGGGTATTTCT